GGGTACCCATAGGTTCTCAAGGGCTATCCTAAGGGGGTACCCATAGGTCCTCAAGGCCTAACTTAAGGGGATATCCATAGGTTCTCAAGGGCTATCCTATGGGGGTACCCATAGGCCCTCAAGGCCTATCCTAAGAGAGTATCCATAGGTTCTCAAGGGCTATCCTATGGTGGCAGTCATAGGTCCCCATAAGCTATCCTATGAGGGTACCCATAGGTCATCAAGGGCTATCCTACAGGGATATTCATAGGTCCTGAAGGGCTATACTATAGGGGTACCCATAGATCCTCAAGGTCTATCCTAAGGGAGTACCCATAGGTTCTCAAGGGCTATCCTAAGGGGGTACCCATAGTTAGTTAGTTAGACCCGCTACCGTTGCCGGTGTAGGGTGAGAAGACAACAAAAAGACACAAAATACACACAAAAAATAGCTATTGGCAAAGTTAGAGTTTTTGCCTTCTTTGACGACCGTATTGTTAGAACTCGACTGACGATGAAAACATGGAGATCAGGAGACCACCTTCCGGTAAACCAGCTTTAAATAGACTCCGTCATAGACCATACTCACAGAGTTCAGAAGGTGTCTTACGATCATTTGAAGGTAATTTCCACTTCCTTGCATTCCATTCCATTTAAAATTTCTTTATTTAATTTTATTGTTTTTGCACCAAACTTGAGCATTAACACACGGCTTTACATGATTCGTAATTCCTTAAGGTTTAAATTGAATTCCACAACCAGGACAGGCATAATGATTATTTGTATTTTTAACAAGAATTTCTGTTACTTTTCTTTTGGTCACTCCGTGAGATGCAGCCAAGCCATCATTTCTTCGATTTACAGCTCTTTGTTTATATTCGTAGATGATTTCTTTAATATTTTGATGTACAGGTCTGCTCTGTACATTTTTATTAATTAATTCTCTCCAGTGATCTCTGTTTAAAGAATCTTTTCTCCAATTTTTAATCTGACAGTATTCAATATCCTCTTTCACTTTATCCTCCCACCTTTTCCTAATGCCGATGTTACCAGGACGTTTCTCTTCTGGAAAGTAAGAGAACGTGATCTTTTTCACTATGGATGGTTCATTATCACTGTTCATCATTCTGTTGGCATGACCAAACCACCTTAATCTGTTTCGATGTAGAATTCTTTCAATTGGTGGCTGTCCAGTGATTTCTAAAATTTTATCATTTGACATACGATCACCTAAATTGGTACCAATGATTATTCTAAGACACTTCATATAAAACGTGTTAATTCTTTGTTCATGGATTTTAGTAATTGACCAAGTTTCACTTCCATACAGCAGCACTGACAGTACACATGCTCTATATATTCTCAATCTAGATTTAATTTAAATCGTTTTTCTGTACCAGATAACACTGCGTAGCATATTGAAAGCTGTGGATGCTTTCACTAACCTTGTGTTGATTTTCTCATCAGGTTTTAGATCTTTTGATACACCACAACCTAAATAAGTGAAAAATTCTACAGTTTCTACCTTCTGATTTCTGATATTAATATCAAAATCAGGTTGATAAACTTCATGATTGTATATAATTTTATTATTTTGATCAACTTCCAGCTGTTTCAATGTCATAAGACACGTTTTCTTCACACTCATTGATAACCCGTATTCTTGAGTAATTTTTTCAAAAGTTTCAATGAGTGTCTCTAAATCATCAGATGTCTCATACATGACGACTAAATCGTCTGCGTACAGTAAAGCCAAAATGTCGAAGTTCAAATACTTTTCTTTTGTACCGTGAAAAAAATCATTACTTCCATAAGAAAATTGTACACCTATCACATCTGCTTCTTCGATAACCCTCCTGATGATAAAATAAAATAAAATATTGAATAAAATTGGAGAGGGAATGCCTCCTTGCATTACACCATTATAAATTTCGAAGCTATTCGAGAATTCACCATTTATTTTCACCTTTGCTTTGGAATTTGTATAAAGCATTTTTAGAAGATTGCCTAGTTTTTCTGATATTCCATATTTTCTGCATACTTTCCATAATAGTTCACGATTAACAGAATCATACGCTTTTGATATATCAATAAAACACATGAATTAGGGCTTGTTAAATTCTCTACGTTTTTCCATACATAATTTTAATAATATAAAGATTTGATCAATTGTAGATCTATTAGATCTGAATCCAGATTGTGCTTCCAATAATTGACGATCGACCAGGAGTTGAATACGATTCAAAATAATACGAGAGAAGAGTTTACTAGTCAGACTGAGAAATGAAATACCTCTGTAATTGTCACACAATTGTTTGTCACCTTTTTTAAATAATTTAATCAAAACTGCTAAATTCTTTTCCTCTACCATTTTCTCCTGTTTCCATACATCACTGAAAATTCCATGTAAGCACTTGATAACTGGTTCATCGCCAACTTTAAGAAGGTCAGTAGTAATATCATAGTTACCCGGAGCTTTTCTTGACTTCATCTAATTCAAAGCTTTTCTTACCTCAGGTATTGTAGGTTTAACATTTTGACGTTCTTCTTCTTTCTCTTCTATTCTTTTGTGAAACACGATCTGAAAGGAGTGTTGAAGTGTTTAGGGGTAGAAATTTGCCCCCCCCCCCCCCACAGACCGTGACAGAGAAATTCCATACCCATCACAGACCGTGACAGAGAAGCTCCAAACCCATCACAGACCGTGACAGAGGGACTTCAGAGACCATCACAGACCGTGACAGAGAACCCAAAACACCATCACAGACCGTGACAGAGGAACTCCAGAGACCATCACAGACTGTGACAGAGAACCAATAGAGACCATCACAGACCGTGACAGAGAACCCTCAGAGACCATCACAGACTGTGACAGAGAACCCTCAGAGACTGTAACGGACCGTAACAGAGAAAATTAATAACCATCACAGACCGTGATAGAGAAGCTCCAAACCCATCGCAAACCGTGACAGAGAACCTCCAGACACAATCACAGACCGTGACAGAGAATATCTAAACCCCTCACAGACTGTTACAGAGAAACTGTAGTTTTGAAAAATCAAAAAAAAACGATAAGCTAGAAATCTACCGTAAAGAAACGGAAGAAAGCGAAGTCCATTTAATTAGTAACAGTAGGTTCATCGTGTTTCACATTTTTAATCCCGCAAGGGATTGCGCTAACAGCTTTTTATTTTAATTTGATCAATTAATTGAAGATCTACTGCTGATGAAACATTAAGTAAATCATCAAAGAATTCTCTCCATCGTTCCAATTGATCAGTTGAATTTAAAATCAATTTTCCATGTTTATCTTTAATAGGCATATTCTCCACTCTCTTCCTTTTACCACTAAGTCATCTAATAATATTAAATGCATTTGCTGGATCATTTAATTTAATAGATAACTCAATCTCTTCACATATTTGATCCCAATACTTTTCCTGACGTTTATCAATTTTGGTCTTTGCTAATTTTCTTAAACGTTTATATTTATTAGCATATTCAATTTCTAATTTTGTTCCTCGGTGATTTTGCCAATTAACAAAAGCTGTTGCTTTCTTTTCTACAATTTCTAATATTTCATCAGTAAGCCATTCTTTACGTTTACGAATTTTGTTCTTATCTATTTTAAAAATTTTCTCTGCATTTGTTTTCATATGTTCAACAAATCGATCATATTTCTCATCAATACTAATTGTTTTGTCAGTTGCATCGGAAAGTGTTGGAATGAGATCTTTTTGAAATTGTTTTAATGCATTATCATTTTTCATTTTTATTGGATCATAAACTACTTTCTTCTGAACTAATTTCCTTCTACTTTTAAAGTGTAGTTTAATTTTTATTCGCATTAAATGATGATCTGTACCAATTGCACCAGCAGCTTTTCTATACATACGACAGTCTTCGATACTCGATCTAAATTTCTTATTTACTAATGTATAGTAATCATATGCCATTGTTTATTTCCTGGATGCATCCATGACGTTTGATGTACTAATTTGTGTTTAAGGAATGTGTTCGTAACTATGATATTATTAATTGTACATAGATCAATCAGCTTTTCTCCATCTTCATTTGTAATATCAACTGTGTAAGGACCAACACTATTACATAAATTCTGCTGTTGTTGTTTTTTCCCTTCCACTCTTGCATTAAAATCGTCCATGATAATATACATATCTTCAGTTGAAATTCGATTAATAACATCTTGTAAATCATTATAAAATTTTTGACTAGCATCATTCATTTGGTTGTTAGTTGGATTAACAGGAGAGTAAATAGAAATAATAGTCAAATTTACAAATAAACATTTCAGTCTAATTTTTACGATCCTCTCGCTCACTGCTTCCCACTCCGCACCAGAATCTTTCCATACCTTAGCAGCTGTTTTGTCCAAACAGATAGCTACTCCATGAGCATTTCGAGTTTTATTTGCTGATAGTAATCCAGAGAAAATCCATGTAAAGTCATTTATTAATTTTACTCCACAATCATACATGCACGTTTCACTCAATGCAGCACTTTGAATACGATATTTTTGTAATCGTTTCATAATAAGCTCCTTCTTTGATTATTTGACACAGGTTCTAACATTCCAGCCTCCGAAGAAGACCCTGTGGTGTGCGTTCACCCACTTGTTTTTCTTCTTTTCTGTAGCAAGTTGGGTTTAAAGTCTGACTGACGAGTTACTAGCACGACCGTCCGATAATTTGGCTACCGGCAGCCCAGGGTCGCCTCCCCTGTGTGAATTAAAAATTCACCCGGCAGGCTAGGGGGTACCCATAGGTCCTCAAGGCCTAACCTAAGGGGGTATCCATAGGTTCTCAAGGGCTATCCTATGGGGGTACCCATAAGTCCTCAAGGTCTATCCTATGGGAGTATCCATAGGTTCTCAAGGCCTATCCTATGGGGGGTATCCATAGGTTCTCAAGGGCTATCCTATGGTGGTAGCCATAGGTTCCCATGGGCTATCCTATGCGGGTACCCATAGGTTCTCAAGGGCTATCGTATGGTGGTACTCATAGGTTTCCATGGGCTATCCTAGGGGGTATCCATAGGTCTTCAAGGGCTATCCTACGCTGTAAAAAAAAAAGGTATTCTACCGAACCCCCAAAAAAGGTTCGGAAGTTGTCTAAAAGCGTCCAAATGCATTCAAAGTCTCAAAAAAAAACGATAAAAAACTCTACGAAACCTTTTTTTAAAGTTCTGTACAGAGAAAACAAGGTTTCGTAGAAAAACACGAAACCTTCACAGATTTTTGTTAAATATAATGGTTTTCTACGAAACTTGATTACGAAACCATTAGGTTTAATAGGAAACTACAAAGGTTTCGTGTTTTTCTACGAAACCTTGTTTTCGCTGTACGGAACTTAAAAAGGTTTCGGAGAAAAAAGGTTCTTCCCTGGACACATAGGAAGAACCTTTAAAGGTTTCATAGATTTTTTTATCGTTTTTTTGAGACTTTGAATGCATTTGGACGCTTTTAGATAACTCCCGAACCTTTTTTGGGGGTTCGGTAGAATACCTTTTTTTTTTTACAGTATATGGTGGTACCCATAGGTCTACAAGGCCTATCCTATAGGGTATTGTTAGCTCTAATATGTATAGAGCATATGGGCTAGCAGTGTCACTGATGTTATGTGACAGAACGAAGAAAAAGATGCCTTTCGTGGGATTCGAACCACACATCTTCTGCTATCCGGGCAAATGTACAACCATTATACTAGAAAAGACAACTTAATCTTTGTTTAGCGTTGGTGTGAATCATCACCGACGCTAACACCTCTTCCTTTTGCACAGTTCCTTTTGCTGCTCGATGCGTTTTCGCATCGAGTGAGGGCGTACGAACATGTGCAGGAGGGTGTATACTGCTGCCCAACTTCTCCACCATTTGTGAGGTTCTCGTTTATGTAAGGACTTCTGCCTCCACTCTACGGCTAAGGCAGAACTATGATTTAATGAATTCCCCGTCTGCAAAGGACACGAGAAAGCACACGTAAGGTAAATGAAAATATACTTACAGTATTTTGTAATGTTGAAGATAGGGATGTTAAGGGGATACAAAAGGTTTTATTCATAAATAAACCGGAAAAATATAACAATAATGATAAATGAAAGGAATGACGGAAAGATCAAAAGAATTCTCAACAACAATGAGAAAAAAAGTAATAATCGTGACGATGTTGATGAAGATGAAGAACGAGAAGAAAAAGCTTGTTAGCGCAGCTCCAAAGGAGCTGAAATGTGGAACTCACGTATATCCTTTAGACTTGTTATCCTAATATGTCATCTGTAAACTGAAAGATTTCTGTTGATTAAAATGATTCTTATAACTCATCACTGACATAAACAATATTTTATTATTTATTTGTACATTTAAAACTGCGACTATCTTTTTCGTTTGAGCGCGCCCGATTTTTTTTATTAGTGTTGATATATACTCGATAATAATCATTTTTTTTTTGTTTTTTTTTTATTTAAAATTTTTTCATCATCAATTACTTCATAAATACGAGTCTCACAATAATGCACTTAATATGCATTAGCCATTCTTACAATACTTTTATACATCTCAATTAATTTATCAATAATGATATTGTTTCCTTCTGACACTAATAAAAAGATCGAATCATGTTTCTTGTATTGATTATATCATCGGTACGACAGATTAATACCTATTATCACTATTCACCGTTGATTTTTAGCATACAAGTTTAAATTCTTAAAAAAGCCAACGATTATACTATTAAGAATTTTGTTAAGTGCATGTTAGTTTTTTCAAATAATTATGAAAACATTATAATATTGTATAGCAGTCAAATTCATATTCTTCAAACCGTTCAAGCCTTTTTCTATTGTTAAGTAAAGCTTAAGTTTTTTGTGTGCAGTTGCTGAGGTCTGTAATGAGGGGGGGGGGGTATGTCTGTAATGTTCTCTTTCTCTGTTGCTAAGTGTCTGTAATGGGGGAGGGGGGGTATGTCTGTAATGCTCTCTTTCTCCGTTGCTAAATGTCTGTAAGGGGAGGGTGGGGGGGGGGGGGGGGGGGGGGG